CCCGCCCCCCCGGGGTCGGGGACGTCGAACGCGCTGTGGTCGCCCCTTTTCAGCCCCGCCTTCTCTCAACAGCTCCTCCGATCCGCCGCGGCGCTGGGGACGACCTCGTCGCCGCTCTCGCTGCATCCCACCCCGCAGGCGCGCTTTTGCCAAGGCTCGATGAGTTCCTTCACGACCCCGACAAAGGCCATGCCCATCCCCACCGAGATGGGCTTCTCCTTCCCTTCATTTGGTGCGGAAGATGCAAATCCAACGCAGGGTGATCCCGCACAGCCAAATCTTCAGAATTCACCAAAGAAGGGTGCCCCGGAAGATCACCCTAGCCAGCAGCAAGCCGGAAAACCTGCGACCGAGGTACAGCTTGGCGAGGGAATTCCTTTTGCGAAAGGTCCCTTCGGTATGACGATGGGTATGAGAAGCAAAGGTCCATCCACAGCTGGGTCAGGGCGGGTGCTCGTTGATACGCCGTGGGAATTGCGTCCGGATGGTAAGGATGCGGTTGTGGAGACCGACGTCCTGGAGAGAAATGCGTTGGCTACACCCAATGACGAGAGCGGAGATTCCAGAGGTGCGGAACGCCTGCCCACTCAGCGGCTTCTCAGAGGTCGGTCCGTAGCAGTTCACCGTTCTAACCCAACTACCCCATCAACTGTATCAAAGTATCCACCATCCGCGGCGATGAGGGCGGTGCCAGGCTTTTGTCCACACAGCACCCCGTTGAGTTCAGTGAAAGATGCACTGTTTCTGGGATGGGAGGCTCAGCCCTGCATGACCTATCAGGAGGCGTTTGACTTTCTCAAATCGAAAAAAAAGGAGGTAAGCCCCAATATCGGCTTTGTGCTCGCTCTAAGAGAGCTAGCAGGTGGGGGCGACTTCAGCCTCAGTAGCTCGTTATAAGTGTTTAAAAATATTTGGCCGAAGCCTGAGCTAACACTTGAACCCTCTTCAAGTTTATGCTGTTTTTGATTAACACATCATCAATTTTTCCCTTTTAAGCGAATAGAGATACAAGCAAAAAAAAATCCTCTTTCTCCAGAAAAGAGAAAATTGGAATATACATGACGGCTTTCTAGTAGCCACATACGGAGGCCATGGCACAGCACTCTCTACATGTATTTGCCTTTCCCCCCCCAAAAAAAATCACGAAAAACAAAGGTGATATATGTTTATGTGTATATTCTAAAATTTAATCTAATTATTATTGCAACCCAAATTTTTCCATTCTTTGTGTGTGTCGTTTTTTTTTTTCTTCAAGGAATTCTTTGAGCTTTTTGTTCATGCTTTATGCTTATCAAGAAACGCCCGCTTTTCTAGTTGTCCCTTCAATTTTTTCCATCACCCTCAGTCGAGTGGCGGAGGTACTTTTTTCCTCATGAACGTATTTCTAAGAAGAAAATATAGTCAACTTCTTTTTCTGTTCTTTATTCCAAAGCGATGCTATTGTACGCTAAATTTGCAGAACTTTACTTTCGTCATTGCTTAGTATTCCTCGTTGAAGTTTAGTCTTTCTGAAATTCATTGAGGATTTATGCATAACTATCTGTCTGCGTATCAAGCGCATATACTATTTTTCCTTAATATAATGAACATTGAATCTCCTGTTTTGCTGAGCTTTTGCTTCACAAACCTTTTTCCTCATTCGCACTCTAACTTTTCTCACGCAAGTAGGACCATAGTGTGGGTATCTTTAATGCCCATTTTTTCTCATCACTTCATTGTAGTGTTTGATCTATATGCTTTTCATCCCTTTTTTTTTGAGGCGGAGGGGAGCAAAAGTTAGTCTTGTTGTCTGATCTTGAAATGTTTATAAGCAAGGCTAATGTGTAGGCGAAAGTACACTGCTTTTTCGTTCCGCCTGGTTATGACTGTGAATTTGTGTGGGAACGGTGTGGGCCAAAAGCCTACCTCTCCTCCGCTGGACCTGCGCGCAAGGCTCAGCGAGCTGCCTCTGTTTTGGCCAATACGGCTTTGTTTGCTACCCATAAATTCAGGTGGCGGCAGTCCATTTGCCTTAGCCTGAAAAATTCAGTTGTAAGAGAAAATGAATCTGATTTACGGGCAGTGTTGTAGCATGGGGGAGAGGCCCAGACGTAAAAATAGGAGATTAAACGATCATCGGATGGTTGATAGCACCTAATCCTGTGATAAACCGTACATCCTTTACTGAGAGGGGATTCCGTAGGCGCCACATAAAGAAGAAAGGGAGGCAATCAGTCAGGGAAGAAATGTAGCAAAGCACAGGGCAACAAGGTAAGGTGAAAAGGTTAATTTGATTCTAGCCGGGATGTATGTTTTCCAGAATTGAGACTACTTCGTGCAACGGTTTCTCTGTTCCTCTTTGTAGTACTGCACCCTTTCGTTGCTGTTGTTGTTTCCCTTATTTATTCCTCCCATTCAGTGTATCGCCATATATACATTGTTTTATCTGTATATCATTGTAATGTTTTAAGGTTGTGTGTATTTATTGTCCTCTTACTTTTAAATTTTCTTTTTACGTATGTAGACTATTGCTATGTATTGGTCTTGTTTAGAAAACATTTCCCTGAATTACATCAACAATTTTACGGTGCACATTAAGTGTATTTTTTCGTTTTTTCCATTGTTTCTTTGTAATGGGCCATTACAGATAGTGTAGGATCCTGATTTACGAAGAGCATCGTTTTAATTTTGAAGAAAAAATACGTGTCCATTGTTCACCTTGTATTATTTTTTTTTAAAAATTATATCGGCTTTTGGGATGAGGGAGGGATGAGAGATTTAATCCATTTCTTTTTTACATACATACATACATACATACATACATACATACATATATATACATATATATATATATGCTTCTTAGCACATATCAAAATAGTAGCCTACATTGGTTAACTTTTTAACATGTCCGGACATTTGCTCGAGCAAGTTCCTGGAAAGTGGGCCGCGATTGTTCGTCCATTTCTTCAGCGTGCCGTTGAGTTTGAGAAACAACAACCCGTTGTTTCTTACTTTCTTCGCACGCATGTTGCGTATTTATGCATGAAGAATCGTACCAAAGACAAAGAGGATTTGAAGTTTCTGAAGCAGCTCCTTTCTGATTTGGAGAAGGATAAGCAGCGTCTCACGACAGAACTAGAAAATGCGGATGGACGAACTATTCTAAGAAAGTACGCCCTCATGCTTTTTACCAGGGCCGATGACGAGGAGCGTTCCGGGAATGCAAACCTTAACATTGTGCGTCTATTCTTCACCTCGGCCCTTCTTTTCGAGGCCACCACGCAGTTTACCGATGACGGAGAGATGGATTCCATCGCAAAAGAAAAGTCCAAATACGCAAAATACACCGCAGCTTGCATGAAGAAGGCGTTAGATAGCAAGGTGCCCTATATAAGTCGAAACGGAATCGCAGAAGCACCCTCGTCGGATCCTTCGTGTTCGCGCGACGGGAGACTGAGTAGCAGGGCGGAGGGGGGCGGCGACGGCGGCACCCCCCCGCCTGAGTACCCTGCCCCGGCGCCCTTTTCGGAACCTAGTACCCCTTTCTCTCCTCCTCCTGCGTATGCTCCTCCTCCGTTTGCTTCTCCTTTTCCGCCGGCCCCCGGTGGGGGGATTCAGGGCACCGTCATGAAAAACAGCAACGGCGTTTCCGCACCTGTGGAGGGTGGGAGCTATCGTGGAGAGGCGCGCGCCGTCGGCCAGGCGGGTGCTCCATCCTTGGATGCGATTTTGGATGCCCAAAAGTCGGTTTCACAAGCCGTTACCGCCCTTCAGTTTTACGACCACGCGAATGCGAGAAATTTTTTGTTGAAAGCCCTTGAATTTTTGGATCAGCAGTCATGAAATTGGTGTATTTTTTTTTCTTTGCTAAATTTTACACAATGTGACTACGTATTTACACATACACAACCAAAAGAAGAGAAAGAACGGGAGAGGCCGACTTGTGTCCTTTAGAGGGTATCTTTTCTTTCGTGGTGGATGATGTATCATGAGGTTAGTTCTGCCTGGTGTTTCCGTTGTATAGGACTAGGAGATTGCGATGAATTTGATAGTAACATTGCTTTTTTTTCCATATCTATTTTTTCAATTTCTGTGTGAATCGTTTTACTCTTCTCATCAAGTTTCCGGCTTCCGAGTATGTGAGGGTTATTTTCGTTACTTTTTTTGCATGCATGAACGTTTCCATTTATATCGTTTGTTTTAATTCCTATTTTGCAGTTATGATTTATATCCTCTTCACCGGAGAAGCTTGAGTGCGATTTGAGATTTTAACAGAGCGTCTAAACATAATCTTTTTAACGATGACAACGATGAAAGGTTCCTGCGAGGGCAGAAAAATCATAAATTTCATGCTCAGGCAAGTTTTCAGGAAACAAGTTTTATTTTTAATTTTTTATACTCATTTAAGCATTCCTTTCTCATAGGGTTAGTGAGTTTATAAAAAAAAAAATTAACTTATTTTTTAGTTATTCTTAACTGTGAGATGAACCGAAATACAAGTTCTACAGGCAAGCCAGCTCCCTCAACGGGAGCTATGGATTCTGCAAAGCAGCGCGCCCGACAGGCGGTGTGTGCCCTTCAGTTCTATGACTACCAAACTGCTCGAAAGGAGATCTTAGCTGCGATTCAGTTACTGGATGGATCTCAGAGCGTAATCAAATCTTAAATATTCATCTTCCATTCCCCTTTCTAAGACCCGCATGCAAAGAAAAAGAAGAAGAGGATGTTTGTCATATGTCGAGATGGCATTTTGTATCACTGCGCATTTTATAAGCCCTTCCCATACGTTAGGGTGTAAGTCAAACGGTAGAACCCTTGATTTTTTACAAAGAATATGGTGAGGGACAATTGTCCGAAGTATGAGAAATGATTTGTATACTTCTAACGTTATTTTTTTTCAAAAATATTAATAGGAAATCATTTTGGAGGTGTTGGGTTTGGAATTCGCCAACGATATATGAATCTCGAAAGACCAGGAAGGTGTGCTGGTGCTCTCCATTTGCTGGAATTTATGGTGAAGCATACCCATTGTGGCGAATGACTCTGGACGGCTTTAGATTGTCTTCACGCCTTATTGGTGGGGTGCTGGAGGGCATCGCTTTTTTGTTCCAAGATACGAGGTGTCTTTCTTTCTCCTATTCCCCACCTCGTACGGGATAGGGACTTACCGGAGACGCCTAGCCGTGCCCTCCCCCCCCCCCCCCTTTATCCGTGGGAGTATTCTTAGTTAAAGTACAGGACAAAAAGACCATCAAATATAAATTTGGAATAGCCCAATGGATATGAATTATCAGGTTGCGCACAAGTTGAGATCCTTCTTCTATCAAGGGTTAATGGGGGCAAACTGATATGGATTTTTTTTTGCGTGTTGATTGCATAAAGAAAACGAAATTCAACTAGAAACGCTATATGAATGGTTTTCTAATGATGTCTAACCAGGATTCGTTGCGCCTTCTTCAGAATCCGAACTCAACCTCCATTTTGGATGCACTTATATCGCGTTACTGTTGTTATTCTTGTCAACCTTTTACTATAGCATCTATTTTTGTATGTAACGGTAAAACTACTTATCCATACATACATTCACACAAACATATCTATATATCTTATTTGTTATATATTAGGCATATACTAGTTTTATTAGCCATGTTGATCGGTTTATTGCTATATGGTTTGCTGTTTTTCGGGTTGCCGTTTGTGGTATTACGCTTTTTTGTAAACCGGCATCTGCCCCAGCCGGCATCTCCTCCACGCTCGCATGGTGATGTCAGCGATGCACTAACTAACAGTTCTCTCGGCAAGTCATCCGCGCAGGAGGATTCAACGGCACCACGTCGCAGGACTTTTGACAAAGACGAAAGAATTGGGGCTAATAACACGAGTAACACTGAGAAGAAGGACTTGACACCCAAGGTGGTGATCGCGTACGCGACGTACTCACAGAGTTCGTTGATTCTCGCACATAAACTGCTCAACTTCTTGACGAACATCCTTCAGGAGCAGGATTCGTACAGCAAATCGACCTGCGCGTGCGCTTCAAACGGGGAGAGTAGCCTTTCGGGCGGGTGTGCGTGCAGCTCCGGGCGAGCACGAGGTGAAACGAAGCCCTCATCCAACGGCAAAGAAGGGGCTTCATCCTCTTCGCTTCCTAACAGCTTGTCGTGCGGCTGCGCGAGGAGGCGGGTAGCGCCGATCGTGAAGGTTCTGGAGCTCGCGGAGGATCCCGTTAGCGGCGACTCGGCCGGGTCGGGCAATCGAACAGGCGGCCTCACCACGTTTGGCGTGGATATGCTGCTCGAGGACCCTTCTTACGTCTTAAACATCTTCATTGTGAGCACCTTCAGCGAAGGGAAGGCGCCCCCGCGCTCCCAGGCCTTCGAGATCATCCTCAAAGACGCCTTTGAGGATCACCGCATCCCGCGTGACGCGCTCGCGCGGAAGCGCTTCGCCGTCTTCGGCCTCGGCGATTTAGCCTACGGGGCGAATCACTTCAACGCCTTCGCGAAGCACCTCCACGAGTGGTGCCGCGGCCTCGGCGCCCCCTCCTTTGTCGTCCCCCCGGTCTACGCCAGCCAATTCAACACCGCGAGTCTCTTCCAGATGTTCACCCTCACCCTCGAGCGGTGGGTGCGGCGGACGACCTTCTACGACGATTATTCCATCCACAGCGAACGACGGGGGGGGGCGAAGCGGGCGATCGCGCCAGGCGGTTCACGCTCGGTGAGCAGCGCCCGCAGCTCCCGCGCCCCGAGCGAGGCCGCGGTTGATTTCAGCAGCGACGAGGAGGGCGAAGGCGCCCAAACGGGCGACGCCGAGGCGGTCGATGATGTGGAGGATCTCGTTTCGGAGGCCGCCGTGGCGCCCGTGGACCCGGACGCCCCTCCGCCCCCGTTGTTGTATCCCAAACTCGAGCAAAACCTCACAAAGCAGGGTTACCGCCTGGTGGGGTCGCACTCCGCTGTGAAGCTTTGCCGCTGGACGAAGTCCATGCTGCGTGGTCGCGGGGGGTGTTACAAGCACACTTTTTACAACATCAACTCCTCCCAGTGCATGGAGATGACGCCGAGTTTGGCGTGCGCGAATAAATGTGTGTTTTGCTGGCGTCATCACACGAACCCGGTTTCGCGGAGTTTTCGTTGGCGGCAGGACCCGCCGGAGCGGTTAATCGCCGGGGGGATGGCCGCGCATTATCAGATGATTAAGCAGATGCGAGGGGTGCCCGGGGTGACGCCGGAGCGGCTCGCCGCCGCGATGGAGATCCGCCACTGCGCGCTCTCCCTCGTCGGGGAGCCGATTATGTATCCTCAGATCAACGCCTTCTGCGGGCTCCTGCACGCGCGGCGGATCTCCTCCTTTATGGTCACCAACGCGCAATTCCCGGAGCAGCTTCGCGAGCTCCGCCCGGTCACGCAGCTTTACCTCTCCGTCGACGCCGCGACGCCGGAGGAGCTGCGGCGGATCGACCGCCCGCTCTTCGAGGATTACTGGGAGCGCTGCCTCGCCTGTGTGGCGGAGCTCCGGCGAAAACGCCAGCGCACCGTCTTTCGCCTGACCTTGGTGAACGCGTACAACAGTGAGAATGTGGTGGGGTACGCGGACCTCGTGGAGCGCGCGTGGCCGGATTTCATCGAGGTGAAAGGGGTCACCTATTGCGGCACGAGCCCCACGAGTACGCTGACGATGAAGGAGAACGTCCCGCGGCATGAGGAGGTGATCGCGTTCTGCGAGAAGCTCTGCGAGGAGCTCGCGCGGCGACGACCTGGGTACGTCGCGACGACGATGGTCGGGGCCGAAAGGGCGGAAGGAAAAGCGGAGGAGGAGGAGGAGGACGGAGAGGATCCGGAGGCCGTCTTGCTCCCCCCAGGGGCCGCCTCGCGGCCCTACCACATCGCCTGCGAGCACGAGCACAGCTGCTGCGTTCTCATCGCGCTCGATAAGTTCTACTTCAACCGTCGCTGGCATACGTGGATTGACTACGACCGCTTTCACGACCTCGTCGCGGCCGCGGAGGCGCGGCGGAAGGCCCTCCCGGAAGGGGAGGAGGATGAGGAGACCTTCACCTCGCTCGACTACGCCGCGCCGACGCCGTTGTGGGCGACGTACCGGTCGAAGGAAAAGGGATTCGATCCGGAGCAAACGCGAGTCATTCGGAAAAACGGAAGGCCCGGCGCCGTCACCTCGGGATGCTAAAATGGAAAATACGAGTGCGTTGCTAAGACATGAAGGCGTGTTTCTTTTTTTTTTTTTTAAGGGTGGAGTGGGGGGAGGGTTGCTCGCTCAACATTCTCAATGAATTCTTTGAAGGGTTAAGTTTGATTTCCATGCAGAACATCCGCGGGGTGTGGGGAGGGGGAAGAAAAGAACAGAGGTCACCGAAATACGTCCAATACAAAGGAGCTCTGGAGCTTAACTCTCGTCTTGATATTACCGACGGTGACGAGAAGCATTTTGAATCTTTTTGAACGATGTTGCCAAATAATATTGTGTTATTCCAATGTGCATAAGGATAAGAGTAAAATGAAGAACCCCTCCTCCTCCCCTTCCTTTCTTCTCCCTCCTCCCTCCCCTCCCCTCCCCCAGACATTCGTAACTTAAAACGTTTTTCCCTTAAATATTAAATGTTTTAACCTTACATGTGGAGTTCAGTGAGTTTTAATTAAGTTATGCTGTGTTAATAGATAATACCTTTAATAAATCGACTGCAATCTGGTAGACTTCTGAATCACAACCAGGTGCTTAATTTTTATTCCCTTCAATGGATGTGGTCGGTAGGGTGCGTGTGGGAACAAGGGGGGAGTTTTTTTGAAGGTTTATCCTCTAAAAACGTTGCTGTTTTATTATTATTATGTGCATCTTCAGCGGCAATCGTAATCATTCCCATTTCTCACCTCTTTATTTTCTTCACCCCTTTTTTGCACTGAAAGACGATTAGATTATCTGGCGTACTAAGCTAGAGACTAAATTGCTAAATAAATATTTGCAGATTCAGGAATAAATAGCAGATATGACTCTACAAAAGACTCGCATCCATGATTATCTGAAATTTATGGTGGCTGTTTTCTTGTTGTCTTTGCCTCATATCTCCCCTTCTCCTGCTTTAGTCAAAACAGAGCTCGATCTTATTCTTCATCGTGCTGTCTTTTTTGTCTCTCGTGGATTCCGAGTAGGGAAATTAGTCTTGCAAGAACTTATATTTTGTAGGGGGTTTTCTATTTATATTTAAGGTACGCTTAATAGTGTATAGTTTATTACCTTCATTTTTCACTTATTTTTCTCAGGTCTCGGGAAGTATTTGGTAGCACTCATCCAAATATACTCTTTCGGTTACAAAACCTGCATTGATAACTGTTGGAGCAGATCCCATTCTTGCCTGTCGCCTTCCTTGTTGAATTATTACAAAGGAAGGTTTGCAGTTTGAAGAGTGATTACTCATTTTATTCTTATCAGCAGTTAGTACAATATAAAAAATAGCATCTCTCTATAAAAGTTTGTTCTAGTTCAAGCCTTTTGAAGACTTATCCATTTTTTGATGTATTCATAAGTATTTCAATTCCAATAAGACTAATAAAAAACATTCTTGTGCATTCATCCTACAAATATTTCCTCTCTTATATCACATAATTCCATGGCATTGCGTAAGCTTCCGCTAAGTTTCTCCAACGACGATTCCCCCGATCGGACCCCTCCCAAAAACGACGCCACACGAACTCAAAATTCCGCGTTGCATCTGACGGCGTTGGAATCCG